ACGCAGGGAGGACAGGTGGGCATGGGGGGGGAGCAGAAGATGAGGGGGACCCATCTCCCATGTTTGCCCGCCTGTACCCACTGCCTGGGACTCTGGCGTTCTCCAGGCCGATCTCTCTCCCAGATCCCAAGTGCAGCTACAGGGAGGGCTCTTGTGTCCTGCCCACTCCCTGCTGCACCCTCTGCTCCATGCCCTTCTCTGTCTGCATGCTCAGGCACCTCCTCTCTCTGCTCTTTTCATCTAAATACACTCAGCTCTTGCATAGTCCCGAGAGACCAGCTCCCACCCCGTAGGTCTGTCCCCTTCCACTTTGAACTCTCAGACTCACCCCAGCCTAGCTCTGCCTGGTGCCCCCTCAAGCTTGGGGATATGGGATCCTCAGCCGCCTCTGAGGCCCTAGGACAAGAGGCCTGGGGTTGCTCTGCAAACATCACCTCTTTCCCCTGCCTCTCCCGCTTCACAGCGACCCCTGGGGACCTTAGGAAATAATCCTCCTCTGCCTCTGAGGAATTAGAAAGCCCAGGCAGCGTGACAAGGAGCTTCCATGGTACAACTCGCCTCGGAAGCGCCTGACCGTGCACAACCTTGGGGTGTGGGGTCCCCAGGCACATCTTGCCCACCTGCCCCTCGTGGGCTTTACCTGGGGGTGGAACAGCAGCGGGGATGGCCTCAGGTACTTCTCCTTCAGGACTCCCACGGGGTCTGTCACCTTCCGCTTTTCTACCCTGCTGGACAACAACACAGAGGGTTACGTACCCCACTGACCCACCGCCCCCTCCAGGATCCCATCTGTGCCTCAGTCGGTCAAGAGACCATGGTGCAGGCCCTCACCATGGCAATCCTGCAAACTCCCACTGGACTCAGCTGATGGCCCTAGGGTTTGGGGGGTGGTGGTGGTATCCACAGGCTCACCTACACAATCCTCCCAGCCACCATGGAACACCGAGTCACCCACTTAGCGGTTCCCTCACATGCTCCCTGTCACTTTCACGTTCACCTGCACCTTCCATACCAGCCCAGTCGCTCACACCTGTGCACACCATGAACACTTCATGCTCGAGCCTAAAATCTTCTCTGAAGGCCCAGTGTGTGCCCACCTCCTGCTACTGGTTGGTCAGCTCTGGTCAGAGGTGGGTAGGGGCCACCCTGTCAGGGTCCCCAGGCTTCCCCTCTGTGTGGGTCACACAGAGGCTGACACCTCCCTCGTGACTTCCTGTTCCTCCTGCCTCAGCACCAGGTGCTCTGCCTATTTGTGCTCTAAGTGGGGCTGGCCAGTGGGTGTCTGTCAAGGGGAAGCCACCAGGGACGCCCCACAGCAGCCAGGCAGGCCTCTGCCTAAACAC